CCGACGGGTGCCGCTTCGCCCAAGCTTGTGCCACCGTGCACAGCTTCACCACCGCCGTGGTGCAGCGCCGGCGCCGAGCCCTTGACCACCATGGGCCTGGCTGGAGAGCCACCATGGACGGAGCATGGACTTCATTGACCTTCTCCTGCTCGCCAAGGTAGTGCTGGGGTGAGATGGTGTGGCCGTGGGCAGGGTTGGCCATGGGGATGTGGCCAAGGGGATGGTGGTGGCCATGGGGAGGGCTGGTCATAGGGTGGTGGCCATAATGGCATGGAGGTGGCCATGGGAATGGTTGGCCATAGGTTGGTGGCCATAGGGTGATGGTGGTGGTCAAGGGGATGGTGGTGGCCATGGGGAGGGCTGACTGTAGGCCATAGGGAGATGGTGGTGGCCACAGGGGAACAGTGGTCACCATGGGGGTGGCCCCGGGGGGCCCCTTGGCTGCTACGCTCACCCTTGCAGGATGAGGACAGCAACACCCTGTCGGATGAGGACATCTCAGCCAAGGCTGACACCTTCATGTTCGAGGGTGAGGGCGAGCCACAGGGTGCCATCAGAGGGGGGTGACTCACATGTCCCCTCGCTCTCCCCATGTCCCTGCAGGCCGCGACACGACGGCCAGCGGCTTGGCATGGCTGCTCTACAACCTGACCTGCCACCCCCACTACCAAGAACAGTGCCAGCAGGAGGTCCGTGAGCTCCTCAAGGGCAGGGATGAGGAGGAGATTGAATGGTGAGAGGTCCCCGGTGTCACCTCCCAGCCACCCGGCTTGGGGACGCTGGTGCCACCATCCCTCGCCCCCAGGGAGGACCTGTCCCACCTGCCCTTCACCACCATGTGCATCAAGGAGAGCCTCTGCCTGCACCCCCCTGTCACCGCCGTGTCCCGGTGCTGCACCGAGGACGTTGCCCTGCGTGATGGACGCGTCATCCCCAAGGGTACGGCTCGCTGGGGGTGCAAGGTGTCCCCAGTGTCCCAATCCCTCCTTGTGCCATGAACCTAAGGTGGCCGTTTCCATCCTACCAGGGATCATCTGCCTGATGAGCATCTACGGGACCCACCACAACCCGGACGTCTGGCCTGAGCCCCAGGTGGAGCCACTTGGCCTTGGTGGCATGACCATGGGGGACAACGGGATGTCCCTGTCACCATGGGCAGGGACAACCACGTCCCCACAGCGTGACGGTGTCCCCGTCACCCCAGGTCTACAACCCGCTGAGGTTCAACAGCCAGGGACGGTCCCCATTGGCCTTCGTCTCCTTCTCCGCCGGTCCCAGGTAAGCCATGGTGGGGACAGGGTGTCCCCACGTGTCACCCCCAGCCTGGTTGGGTTCAAGGTGGGGTGGTTGTCCCCCAGCCATGACATTTGGGCACCACAGGGACAACGCCGTCCCCACCTTTTGGGAAGGTTCCACCATCTGCTCCACCCCTATCCCAGCTGGGGGGGGTCTGCTGTCCCCTGCGTCCCCCCCGCAGAGGTGACAGAGGGGGACGTGGTGGCAGGAACTGCATCGGGCAGAGCTTCGCCATGGCTGAGCTGAAGGTGGTGGCAGCATTGACGGTGGCACGCTTCAGCATCCGGCTGGACACAGGGCGGCCACCGCGCCGCAAGCCCGAGCTCATTCTCCGTGCGGAGGACGGGCTCTGGCTGCTGCTGGAGCCACTGCCCGGGGTGGCCTGAGGGACACGGGGACGCGGGGACACCCTGCATGGTGGATGTCACCCGACAGAGAAGCTGTGAATAAATGGTGGCACGCAGGGGACGGTGTCATAGTGGTGTGGTAGGGGACACACATGCCACATGCCACCGTCCTGGCATAGACACATCCCTCCATGCCACATGTCACCACCCATGGTCATGTCCCTCCATGCCACATGTTGCCATCCATGGACACGTCCCCCCGTGCCACATGTCACCACCCATGGTCACGTCCCTCCGTGCCACATGTCACCGTCCTGGTACAGGCAGGGGAGGGGTGGAGCAAAGGCGGTGGGTGGGCGTGGCTACGGCCAAGGGGCAGGTAGGCGTGGCCACGGTCAGACAGTGGGCGTGGCCACAGCTTTTTGGGCGGTGGGCGGGCGTGGCTACGTCGAGCTGGGCTATGGGTGGGCGTGGCTACGGTGAAAAGTGGCAGGTAGGTGGAGCCACGGCAGTACCTTCCGGTCACCATGGCCCCGCCCCTCCGTGCCACATGTCACCACCCATGGTCACGTCCCTCCATGCCACATGTTGCCATCCATGGACACGTCCCTCCGTGCCACATGTCACCGTCCTGGTACAGGCAGGGGAGGGGTGGAGCAAAGGCGGTGGGTGGGCGTGGCTACGGCCAAGGGGCAGGTAGGCGTGGCCACGGTCAGACAGTGGGCGTGGCCACAGCTTTTTGGGCGGTGGGCGGGCGTGGCTACGTCGAGCTGGGCTATGGGTGGGCGTGGCTACGGTGAAAAGTGGCAGGTAGGTGGAGCCACGGCAGTACCTTCCGGTCACGTGAGGCGGGCGGCTGAAGCCGCGGCGCGGCGGCGCCATGGCGGCCCCGTCTGGTGAGCGGCAACGGAGGACT